TCAAATCTCAGTCTTCTTTCAATTTCTTGGTCATAGTCTCACTTTGAATTGATGACTGAGCCAAGGTCTACAAAAATTTTCACAGTTTTGATTTCTTCATTGTTGACAATAAAGTTCTGTAATTCTTCTGTAGTCATTAGTTTTGTTTTCTTAATGTTCAGCCACAGCGCTGCTTCTGCACTTTCATCAGGAGACCTTTCAAGTCATTGCTGCTTATACCCATTTCCAGTGAGTACAACAGGGGACAAAGAGTCCACTCTTACTTTAACAAAGGCTGAAAAATGGATGAAAGGGGAGGAGATGCTAGTCTAGGAAAGAAAAACACAGTGGAAGAATGGTCCTTCGACATTTTCTGCTCCAGAAGAAAATGGAGACCTGAGCTGAGGACAGAGGGAGCAGTGGTGGTAAGGTCCTTGTGAGGGCAGGAGTGGACTTCGGGACTGGCCAGAGATGATACTTTCCTCCATGGCTGAGCAATGATGCAGAAAAGGGAGGAGTGGAGCAATGTGTATTACCAACCTGGCATCCAGGATAGGGGCAAATAGCACTTGCATCATTTTTTCCCCCAGTCAGGACCCAATATCTCATTTTGAGTGAACGGCGGGGAGGGGACATTTTGCAGGCCTCCATATGTACACTTTTATTGTGCGATCATACTGCCTTATCCACAGATTGTTACAGGTAGTTCCAGATACCAGATTGTTCCAGATAGCATTCATCTTCCACTTGTAACCCTTCTGTACTTCCCTAAGATTCTTCCTTTTTCTCTCTCCCACAAAAAAATCTATTCCATGTTCAATTTTTTAATAGTTGCACAATGCCCTCTAAGAGCAGGGCCATCCTACCATTGGGCAGAATAAGGCAGCTGCCTCAATCAGCAGATGCAGCAGTAATGGCAGGAACCCCTCAGCTATGTACCTCTCCCTGCTGACAGAGCACTGCATGGCCTGCCCTGCCCCCCCACCACCCCAAAATGAACTGACTTGGGCATGGTGGTGGCATTGTCCATTCTTCAGTGCTGAAGTGAGTCAGCTGTCAGTCCAGTTAGCTTCTTACATGAAGAGTGTTTGTGTGTCATACTGTCTTTTCCTCCCAGCAGCAAAATCTCCTTAGTTGGTCCTAACTAGGTGGACTCCATCCAAAGCATCCACATTTTTTAAAATATTAATTCTGTGGCAAATGGGAAGGTTCCTTTGAATGATGCATAAAAAGGAGAAAGATCACAATTCTCTTTGGCTGCTTTATGGCCCATGTATAAATATTTTCCATGCCCAGAAATGTTTATTTTTCCAGCCAACCATGACTCAATGAAACTCTCCCTTCAGGGCACCACCCCATTGCTTGCTCTGGCCTTGGACATAAGTAGTGGACTGCAAAAGCCTTCTCCCACCTGGTACCTTCCAGAAATGCAATTCCCCCAAACACCCAGGCAGGTGGCTAGGGATGCTGGGAATTATAATCTAACATGTCTGGAAGGCAAGCAGGTGGAGGGAAGCTGACCTATAAAACAGAAGCTATTTTTAAAACATTATTCTTCCCACATTCTATTCTTCAGCATGTTGTCTCCATCCAGAATTTGACAGGGCTAGTAATGTGGAGTGCTGCCTTTTACTGACCCTGCTTTTAATAGCAGGAGACTGGCAGCCAGAACATATCCCGCTAGAACAATGGGAGAGAAAGATTCACCTGGCAAATTCCCTCTTAGTTTTGCTTTAAAAAGGTCTACGGATGTACCTGCAATCTACCTGGACTCTAAGGATGTGCCCCTCTCAACTGCAGTCTACCTGGATACCACAATCAATTAAGTGAGACCTTCCTCTGAGTACCAGTTCCAAGGGAAGCTGTATGGGAAACAACAGGGAGAGCTTTCTCAGTGGTTCCTCTGCTCCATTGTGGAATGATCCCCTCACTAAGGCCCACCTGGCACCAACCCTGCCATCTTTTGGCACTAGTTTAAGAGGGCCCTCTATGCTGAGACATTTAAAATATCCAAAGATATTTAATGGCTTGAGGACAATACCCATCCCAGGTGTTTTACAAGTCCACTCTATATCACATTGTTTTAGCTTTTTAAAAATTGTCTTTTAAAAGCATTTTTGAAATGTTTGTGGTGGATTATTGCTTTCTTTTGTAATATATACCGTTATAGACTATTCAAAGAGCTTTGGCAATTGGGTGATATAGAAATGAACAAGTAAAAATCACCAAAAAAAAAAAAAAAAAAAAAAAAAAATAAAAAAAAAAAAAAAAAGAGCAACAGATTTGAAGGAAAATCTTCCTGTGATTATCTGACTCTCTTAAGAATTGTTTGAAGTAATGATCTGTTGTTATTTATCTCTTTTTTTAAATAAAAGATGGAAAGAATAACATTATCACTGACCTCATCATTTTTCTTTTTTCCATGAATTTGATAACCAAACCCACTTAAATCAGCATCCATGTACTATATCAGGATAAGGCAGTGGTACAGAATATTTTGGCCTGAGGGCCAAATCTTGGACTCTGAGCTTCCCCAGAAGGCCTTATCCCCCTTCCCTTGACTCTGCTTCCTTTCTCCCAGTAACCAATCACTGGGTGATTGCCTAGCTTTTTTGAACCTCCCACCCCATATTCTAAAAGGCTGAAATGCTTCCCCTAAGGCTAAGTTACTAGCACCCATTTTTTCCCTCTCCCCGTTTGGCTTCTGCCTCATCCCCCACTGAATTCAAAACCAATTTTAGCCCTAAATTTCTGAGCTGAAAGAGGTTCAGTGCCCCTGGCATAAGAATACCAATGATGGCCTTTCTCTCTTCTCAATGGATGCTGGAGATTGCTCTCCCTTGCAAGTGCCACCCCTTCAGTCCAAAGGCCAAGGATTAAGGCTATGTCTGCAATATAGGCCAGTTTCAAACCTGCTGAAGTGCCATGGCTCCCAACTTGATCATTTGGCCAGAGAGGCCGAGTCGTGACACCTAGCTAAATTTCATCCCAATTTCAATACTGATGATGTATTCTAAGGAAAATACAACTACCACCAAAAGAGTTAGTCTTTATTGGAATATGGAATAATATGGAATATCATGCTTTGGGAGAGCCCATCACTTTGGGAAGCAACCTAGAACATGGACACACTAAAATAGAAAGGCGGAGCTCAGTTCCCAGGGGATGAGGATGGGCTGGCCTGGACCCTAATCAGAAAGATTCATCCCAATGACCACCTCCTCTCCTGCCTATTAAGTTGTTCAGACCAGTTTTTCTGCTCTCCAGATGTCTTGACTACAATTCCCACCCTTCCCAGCCAGCCTGGCTGAGGGGAGTTATAGCCCAAGAGGGCAACATGTTTGCAGTTAGCAACTCAGTACTTAATTTTGTGTGAGATAGAAAAAGCCACGGGTCTCTAGTTTCCTTGGAATCACACCTTCTCAGGTGGAAGCCTCAGCCCACAATCCCTAGAAGGTAAGAGCAGGCTTAGGGCTAGCGAAGGCATAGCACTGGGCTGGGCATAGCGCCGAATATCAGTGGGGTGGGGCTATTGCTTTCCTGGCCTTCTTATAAGCCGCTGTGTGTGCACTGCAAGAAGTCCAGAGAATGCCCATTACTGGGCATATTAAACTACACGATAAATAAAGACATGCTGGGCCAGATAGATCTTTGGTCCAATCCAGCATGGATGTGTTTGTGCTCACTTTGCTCAGCAGCCCTCTCATTAAGCTTTCACATCTTGCAGGGACTGGGCACATTTCCAGTAAGCAGACACCAGAATGCTTGTCTGAGTTGCCTGAGACTTTTGAAAAGTTGCTTGCTGTAAAGTTTGTAAATACCCTTTAAAAAGCATAAATCGAATTAAATGACACCCTTGGGAAGAAGAAAAATCCGATCTGAGACTTTGCTCAGGTTATGTGCTGTGCAGCAGCTGTCCTTTCGCTCACTGTTGCCAGCTGGACCTGGCAGATGCATCACACGCACAGAAAGGCTGCTGGCGTGCCTCCTTCGCTGCTGGTGGGCCAGCAATGGACGGGAGGGGGGCGGACGGGGGGGCACAGACCGATCACACCAAGCTGCCAGCAGCCCTGGAGGTGCCCCCCGTGGGCTCCTTGGCCTCGCTGCATTGGTAGCCAGAGAAGGCGCCGGTCCAGGAGTCAGCCTCCGTTAAGGAAGGGTGGTGGGGAGGCTTTTGGAGACATGGCCAGCATTAGGGCGTGTCTTCTCTCCCGTGCCTCGCCTCCTTTTTATCTGCGCAAACCCTTCTGAACCGGCAGCGGCTGGCTCAGGGTTCCAGAAAATTGCCGCTTAACTATACTGCCGGTTTGCACACTGCAGGGTGGAAGACTGGGGGGCGGCCCGAGAGCCAAAAGGGTAGCTCTGGGCTGGTCACTTGGACCCCGCAACCTCCTCTGTCTCTTTCTCGAAGGTCGCACTTGCGATCGATTCCCTACGCACCCCCGCAACGGCGGGGGGCCGGTTCGGTTCTGACCTCACAGTCAGCCTTGGATCTTTCCCGGTTTCTCCTCGCCATATAACCTGCAGTTCCTTGGCGAGAAGCCTGCCCGCTCTCCCGATCCCCATCTGCATCCCTAACCCCCGCATCCGTGCATTACCAGCCTCCTCGGGCTCCCCTCCCCAGCCAGCGGCAAAGCGACCCCCACCCCGGCGGCGGCAGCGGCACCGATCCAGAGGGCTAGGCAGAAAAGCGGGTCGGGGAGCGGGAAGACGAGAAGTGCCGACAGCGCCCACCCGAAGGGAGAGCAGCCGCAACCGGAGGCGCGAGGGCCGGAGTCCGCACCGCCTCGCGGCAAGCAGAGGGGGCGCCCCGTCTAAACCCGAGTGCTGCCCGCAAGTGCCGGGCGTCGCTCGGCGCCGGCGGATCAGCCCACCTCCCCCTCGGCCGGCGAGAAACGGCCGCGGCTTCGCAGGCACCTGCCGCAGCGAGGCGAGCCGAGCCGAGCCGAGCCGAAGTGGCGCCCGCACGCTCGTTGCAGCTGCTCCTTGCGAGCAAGGCGGGGAGACGCCCGGCCACTCACCGCTTTGCTCCCCCAGGAAGACCAGTTTGAATTTCCTTAGCGGGTTCCCGAAGTCTCCTCCCGTAGACATGACGCGCCTGGCTTCGCGGAGGCTGCACTGGGGAAAACGAGGGCTAGATGGGGGAGCAGTAATTTCGGGCTGGTCCTTTGCGCAGGGTGACCGGCGGCGGCGGCGGCTCCTCTTGCCTGCCTGCCTGGCTTTCCGGCTGAGTTGCAGCTGCCAGTTGCAGGCTGCGATCTGTGCGCTCTGCAGGGGAGCCGCCCGAGTGGGGCGCAGCCTGCAGTTGCCGGGCAAGGGCGCGCGTACACCCTGGAGCGCTGCTGGGGATGCTGGAGCGAGCGCCGCTCCTCTGCCGCCCGCCGCCGCCGCCGCCGGATCTCGCCCTCCTGCCTCGCCTCCCCACCCCACCCCGGTGCGCGGCGCCTGCGCTCTGGCCCGTTCCCGGCTACCCTGATGTCATGCTGGAGCAGCCCGCAAGCCAATGCGGTGCTGCAGGAGAGGGAGGTGTGTGGATGTGTGAACCCGAGCTCGGGGGAAGGGGTGGGGGAGAAGGCGCAACAGCGGAGAGGCGGGGCGATGCCGCGGGAGGGGTGCTCCGGGAGGAGCGGATCCCTCCCTCTCGCCGGGGACCACGCCGCCCGGCACGACTTCACACCCAGCAGGTGCGCGCGTTTTCCCTCTTGTTTTCCCCCACTGGCCCGGCTGGGGCAGAGCAGGTGGGAAGGAAGCCGCAAGTGTGTCTCCCGAGTGGGCAAAGGGCAGCCACGGCGGCTGACTGGCGATGAGATCATCTCCCTGTGTACTCCACGCTAATTAATCCGGGGTTGCTGCCGCCCGCCTCCGCCTCCGCCTCCGCATCCTGGGTGTTATACAGCGCAGCTCCCAAGGCGGATTCGACCTCGTCTTAAGTACGCTGCCGGAGGGAAGGGGGACCCCGCTGCCCCTTTCCTGGGCGTGTGCGTTAGGTGGCTGAGCATTCCAGGTCTCCTGCCGGGCGTTCGTCATCCTGCCATCGGCCCGCTGCGCTTACAGACTGGCGTGGGGGGGCTCGTGCGGCAAAGGAAGCGGTGCGCTCCCAGCCCCGCGCCTTGGAACAGTGACTCAGGCAGATCGGCCAGATGCGCGAGGGAAAAGCTCCGGCGCCCTGATAAAGTCGTGGGGGAGAGAGGCAGGGGCCACGACAAGCTACACGCACTGAAATCCCATCCTCCCCCCTGCCATTAAAAGACGCCTCCGGGCACCCTATTTGGGATCAACGTGTGATTAAAGGCACGAGCTTATGCAACTTTAGACCGAACAAGGAAACCTACAACTCCCAGCATGCCCAAGCCGCCACCATTGTCTGGGGCATGCTGGGAATTGTAGGCTTTTTCCGCCTAACGTGTTTAGGATTGTGTCCTCAGGTCGCAATCCTGTACTTACTTGGGAGTAAGCCGCTTTGATTAGAATGAGACTTAATTCTGAGGAGACATGAGGCTGCTCTGTCCCTTGGTGTGGCGCAAACCCATGGTTAGGGAGGTGTGGGTGGCTGTAAACAAGGAGGTTCAAAGCTTCACCGAAACAAGGCTTCCTTTTTGGGAAGGGAGAGTGCTTAGGCCTGTGGATAGAAAGTAGCCATTTCGTATTTCTCCATCTTAAAACAATGCGCAGATAAAGCAGAGTGGCTGGGACAAGAGGATTGCAGTCCAACACCAGGTTCTGGAAGAGTAGCATATCTTCTTTCAACAACATCAAAACATTTCCCTTTTTATTCCCTTGTATATGCAGCCTGAAGAAGCATTCTGTGTAGCTCAAAAAGCTGTATACTGTGTATTGAATATTTGTTGGTTCTAATAAAACATTGTTTTATTATTCCTGTAAATCCTGCTGTAATGAGCCACATTATGCGCAATGCTGCTCTCCCTTAGACAGAAATGTCTATATCCATTAGTCCTTCCGCCTTGAGAAGCACTACTTGCCAGTTATTGATCTTCAGGGAGGCCCTTCTGCAGCACCACTGCCACAGGAGGGTGTGGATGTGAGAGTGGCCTTCCCAGTGGCTGCTCCCCATGGGTAGAACCCCCTGCTGCAGGAAGCCTGGGTGGCTGCGCTCTCTGTTGTCCCTTTTTGTCAGGCAGGCCTTTGGCATATAAGCTGATCTGTTGAGTTGAATGCTGTTTTTATTCCTGTAGCGTTTTTCAATTGCAGCTTTAATATATTCATCTTAAGATAGTTTTAACCACATTTATATTTAAAATGTTATTGTCCTTTTCTTGCTGAAAAGGTGCAGCATGAATCCAATAAACAAATAAGCCTAAGCTCAAATCTGTGAGGAGCTATATAAAGAGCTCCCCCCTGGTTAAAAGCACAGAGCTGATTCAACTCCATTTTGCGCCATATAAAAGCTTTTGTTGTTCACAAACATGCAACTTTTCTACAGGCAGCCAGTGCTGGCACGTGGTTCCCAAGACATAGGGCATAAAAGGCAACCAATAGGGTATATTTTATCCTTAGAAAGAACTCTTTGTAATTAAAAAATAGTGTTCCTATTCCTATTGAGTAAAGATATCATTGCTTATACTTTATATCTATCAGTATAACTTGGGCAGTTGTCCCATGTTTGGCAATCACTGAGAAAGCAAGGCATGTTACTATAATGCACAGTTAATTGAATCAGCTTGATGTTTACTGCCAGGAAAACTAAATGCTATGCTATGGGAAGGTACCTAATATTCTGATGACCTAGGAAATGCACAAAGGGTTGTGTGTGCATAAATGGTCTTTTCTTGTGTTCAGTCTCAAGGAAGAAATTTATTTCTTCACACAAAAAAGAGCACACCACTCAGTGTGGAGGAAAGAAGTATGTTACATTGATTGCATCCATGACCAGTATAAGACTCTTTCCAACATTTTGTCAAAAGCTTTGATCAGTGTAATTGAAAATGACTTGAGCCACCATATCTCCTGGGAGCAGCTTACGTCTGTACCCTCCAAGTCCATCCCTCCCACACTGGTTGGCCTCCCATGGATATTCAGACCACAAACTCCTTTCATTAGTATAGCAGGTGCACTTTTGCAGCACACCAGGAGCATCCACATTCTTTCATAATTTGCAACCTTTATGGACTTTTAAAATTTACCAGCAAGATCCATCCTGAATAGTGAGAATGAACACAGAAGCGTGGCCATAAGGAAGGGGAAGGAGAGTGCTACCCACAGCTTTCTTTTGATACTCCTGAGAAACAAGGTCTGAGAAGCTAGGATGATACAAAATTTCTTGTGCTGAATGGAAAGCCTGCACTGAGCACAAAGTCTCTCTGTGGGCACACAAAGCAGTGCCCATCTCCTTCTGGAACTTCATAGGTAAACCCCCATCTGCTTGGCACTGGTTATTCGAGTGGCATCCATTTTCAACATTTGCAATGGAAGTGTGGACCAGGACAACACGGGGTCTGGGTCTCCTTATTTTTTCTGAGTAAGACACATAGAAAAAAAGGTAGAGGCCAACGTGGCAATCCTCAATAGTCCCTACATTTCCCATTGTATTTTAAAGGAAGAGCACTGATCTAGCCCCACAGACCAAATCTGAGTCTGGGCCATATACCATTTCACTGTGAATTTCCCTCTAACTGCCCCTAAAGTTGCTATTTACATTTGCATACAAATAACAGCTGTGGGAGTGCAGCTTTTGCTTTTACAGCCTTCTGTGAGCCTCTTGGAAAAATCTGTCTGGCTGCTGCGGAGCTTGGCCTGATCCTGCAGAACTTTTCTTAGGATTTTATTGTCAAGCCATCCTCCTATCAAGATGTTTCACCAGCACATGCCACAGGAGTAGCTGTGTTTTTCTATCGCAGCAGAACTATAGTCTTTTAGCATCTTACTGACCAACACCATAGTGGGCCAAAAGCTTCTGAGGACCAGGGTTCAAGAAGTAGTATCATTAGTTGTTCTCTCTCTCTCTCTCTCTCTCTCTCTCTCTCTCTCTCTCTCTCTCTCCATCCTTCATATATGTTTAAATAAATATTATCTCACAGAAATATATTACGTTTCCAGTAAGCATCTTCTAGGGAAAACATCCTAGGCAAGTACTGGATACTTGAAACTTCTCAGAACTGGAGTGTATCCCTCTCTTGCACACAGGGAGACAGAATAAGAAGTGAACCCCATGGCCATGAAATACAAAATGTATGCGGATCTGGTGGATTCTAACCTATGCGGTCATATGCCACAATGAATCTCTTAGTCTGTATGGTGCCACAAGATTTTACCAGCATTTGGTATTACTCTTAGGAGGGCTGCGATTGCTGAATAGGCCGTTCACATTTTGTAGTCTTTTCTCAGCCAGTGCTAATGTTTGTCTGAGAAGTGACTCTACTAAGTAAGCAATGATGTCAGGCTTTTGTATGGTGCATTTTTATCAGTAAAAAGTAAAGTGCTTTAATTTACTTTCATGCTCATGGCAGTCCCACCATCAAGGAGAGAGGTCAAAATTATTATTCAGAGGACAAACTGAGGTTGCAGTTTGGTGACTTTGCTTTTCAAACCCTATTTAGCAAAGCTGGCAGCTGGATATTAATCTCAACTAGCCCATCCTTTCAATTGTGAATGATAGATACCCAGTTTTAAAGGCTGACCTTCTCATTTCCCATTTTGAAATGCAATCTTCTGATTTTGGCCTTGTTCTTCAGTGAATTTCCTAAACAGGAGGGACCATAGCTCCGTGACAGAGAATATGCTTTTCATGAATATGGTCTCAGGTTCAGTTTCTGGCATCTCCAGTCAAAATAGTGGAGGGGAACCTTGGGGACACAGGTCAAATCTGGCCTTCTGGGTTTCTTCCTGGCAAAGCATCCCCCCCCCCCTGTTTCCCTGGCCAAACCTCATTTCCCTGGTTGCTGTTCCTGCCATGGTTTTCCAGCTTTTGCATGGCCCCAGCTTCCTGCCCCCAATGCAAAAGATTCAAATGCTTCTCCCAAGGCTTTGTTACTGGCAGTAAGAGCTTTAGGTTGAAATAGGCTGGCATTTTAGAATTTTTGGCTCTAGCCCTTTTGCCATCTGAGTGTGGCTCTGGAGAACTACTTTGACATGGAATGTACTCTTCTGGCTCAACGGTGTTCCCCACCCCTGATTT